TCTGTCTGGTTCAGATCCACAAATGAGGAATTTTACCAGTGTTAGGGCCTAGTTTGCCCACACCCAGGAAATGAACTGAAGGGTTGCAGGAAACACCTGGAAGCCTGGATGGAGATGAGTGGGCAGAGTTGCTTGCCCAAGAGCAAAGCAAGTAGAGGGTTCCCCTGCTTCATCCAGGCATGGGGATAAACTTAGGCAAGAGTGAGCATAGTTCTCAGGCCCTCCAAACCAGAAAGCCAGCTTGAAAAACTTGGCAGTTGCTTGCAGTATCCCTCACAGAGGCAAGTGGGCTGAAGCATAGCTCCCCCAACTGAGACTCCCAGCCTTATCTGACCAGAAGTGCTGGTGAGAACACCTGGAAGCTGGGTAATCAAAATAGAAATTACGTTACAGAAAAATAAAGTAATATGTCTTGCCCACCTGTGTTGGTGTACTGAAATTTGTACCTATCAACCACCAATCTTTCAAATTAATTTCACTAATTATTTAAGATAAGCAATTATTTTGTCTCAAAGTGAATGTGCAGATTTTTTTATCATGGTGAAAAAAAATCATTGCAAATGTAATGTATTGTGAGTTAAAATAAACTAGGGTGAAGAAAGGGGTGATAAGTGCTTTACTCCTACACAAGAGTGAATATAACCACAGAATGCCAATGTTTCAGAATGCTGCAGAAATATTACAGTGCCCTCACCCTTAACTTGGGTTTTCCTTTCTTTTTAAAAAATATTTTATATTGATTTCAGAGAGGAAGGGAGAGGGAGAAACATCAATGATGAGAGAGAATCATTAATCACCTGCCTCCTGTACACCTCACACTGGGGATCAAGCCCATAAACCAGGAATGTGCCCTGACCTTGGAATCAAACTGTGAACTCCTGGTTCATAGGTCTATACTTAGCCATTGAGCAACACCGGCAGGACATGGGTTTCCCTTTCCATGGCTTTGGCTACCTGAGGTCTGAGTATCTTGATAAAAATCTGTCTGTCCTGCTCTGTCCTTCCCTGGACATGAATCGTCCTCTTTGTGCAGCATCTTCACTCTGTATACTCGACCCACCCATTAGTCAGTTATTGGTTATCAGTTATTAGATGGACTGCTGCAGTATCTCAGTGCTTGTGTTTAAGTACTCTGTGTTACTTAATAATGGCCCCAAAGTGCAAGAGTAATTTAAAGTTTATCATAGGTATGTATGTAGGAAACACATACACACATACACACACACACACACACACACACACACACACACACACACACAAGGTTTGGTGGGTACTATCTGCAGTTTCAGGCAAACATTGGGGGTCTTGGAACATACCCCTGTGGATAAGAAGGGACCATTGCACTGTACTAAACGTGGATGTAAAATATACAGAAAGTGAACACCAGAGCTGAAACTCTGAGCCTTGCTGGCCAAAATGAAAATATTACCCTATCCTAGATAATAAAGAGGTAATATGCAAATAGACCATCACACCCTCACACAAGATAGCCACCCCCATGTGATCACAAGATGGCCTCCCCCATATGGTCACAAGATTGCCACGCCCATGTCATCACAAGATGGCCGGCAGGGGAAGGCAGTTGTGGGTGATCAGGCCTGCAGGGGAGGGCAGTTAGGGGGGACCAGGCCTGCAGGGGAGGGCAGTTGGGGGTGACCAGGACAGCAGGGGAAGGCAGTTAGGGGCAATCAGGCTGGCAGGGAAAGCAGTTAGGTGTTGATCAGGCTGGCAGGGGAGTGATTAGGGGTGATCAGGCAGGCAGGCGAGCGGTTGGGAGCCAGCAGTACCAGACTGTGAGAGGGATGCTTATCTGTCTGGGTGCAGGCTGGGCTGAGGGACACCCACTCCCATGAATGAATTTCATGCGCCAGGCCTCTAGTACTTAAATAAAGTTTGAATTTAGTATGCTTTAGTAACACATATTTTACTCAGGAAGGACAAAACACTTCCAAAATTGTCAATAACCTACAATTACACCCACAATAGTAAACTGTTGTTACTGGGTTAAACAATCATTTTGCTTATCAAGTAAGAAAACATTCTAACTGTGCCATACTTATGGATCTGGCTGAAAAATGTTATCATTCATATAAAATAACACTATATAATGGCATTAGTAAAAGTTCTATAAAGTTATTCCATTTTGAAAAAGCCAAACATCTGTATTAAGGACATTTTAAATTTTAACTTATTTATTTGGAAAACAAAACAATATACTAAAGATAAATTTATCAAGAAACAAGTCTCATAAACAGGCATACAAAGTGTTTAACATTGGACTAATACAATAAAAGAAGAAGTATGTGAAATTTTGAAAACAGGAAAGGTCTAATTTAGTATGAAATATAAAAAGAAAATATTATGGTGATGGAAGGAGATTTGACTTTGGGTGGTCAAATGCAGTATGCAGATGGTGTATGATATAATTATACACTTGAAACCTATATAATTTTATTAAGCAATGTCACCCCAATAAATTTAATAAAAGTAAATTAGTATAAAATAAAATATGAAACACCTTCATGAAATTTGTTTTGCTCAATCAGTGTGATTTTAATGAAGTTCTGTGTATATTATTATGATTCAAACCATGGGGACCATTATAAGCACTTAAAAAATAGAGGGCATTCTAAACTGTGATATCCAAACAGTAGCTACTATTCATATGTAGCTGTTTAAATTTTCATTAGCTAAAATGAGATAAAATTTAATTTCTTTGTCTAATTAACCACATCTCAAGTGCCCAAGAGCCATATGTGGCTAGCAACTATTGGACAACCTAAAATTACAGCACATTAACAATGTAATAGAAAGTTCAGTTGAACAGTGTTCGTCTTCTAACTTACATAAGCAACCATCATAATAAAAGTTAACCATATAAATCTTGAAATTTTTTTGTAAATACGAAGTCTTTTGTTTTGTAATTTTGCTTCTAATCCAGGGTATATTTCAGATACCATAAAATACAAATAAAATTTGAAATCTGCATAAACAATTTGACATTTTGCCTATGTTATAATTTTGTTCTTCCACATTAGGTGTATTACCAGCAGTTTGTAAAAATATTTGTAGAACTGGATGGTGAAACCAAAGACTACCTTACATGAAGTAATATGAATAACTCTGGTCAAGATTCTTTTACCCTCAATGGAAGTTTTTTCGGCTTAAATTGTCTACTCTTTAAGACCATTGTAGGCATAGCTTCAACATATAAAGATATGCATAGAAGTGCTGAAGTTTCATTAAACTAAATGCAACTAACAACAAATTATTTGCTGAACCATCTTAAAAGTAAATCTTTTAGCTTTATAAAACTAAGTATACTATATTTTACTAGAATACTCTGAAAATTGAATCTTAAGAACATATATGCCATGACAGTATTGCTAAGTGGTGAGAGCATTGTTCTGTGCATCAAAGGCTCACAGGCTCGATTCTTGCTCAAGGGCACGTACAAGAGTTGCAGGTTCGATCTGTGCCGGAGGCAACCAATCAATGTGTCTCTCTCACATTGATGTTTCTCTCTCCCTCCCTTCCTACCTTCCACTCTCTCTAAAAAAAATCACTGGGAAAAAAATTCTCATGTGAGGATTAACAAAAAGTATATATGAAAATATGTATCTAGTCTATAAATTGATTCTATAAAACCATCTTAATCTATCTCACAAGTCACAAAGATAAAAAGACTTGTAAACCTTCACACAACTTATATTGTTTGATTGCCTACTTATTACTTTCTATTGAATTTCTTTGCCTTATCAAAAAGCTGAAGTCAATTGTCTGTTACAAAGCCATAGATCACAAGCAAATGGACATAAATGAAGGTTGAACTCTCAAAAGAAAAAAAATTGCTTTTTAAACAATAACTAAGAATTCTATAAAATGACTGTAACTGAGGACTGCTCAATAAGTTGAAAACTGAAAGATGGTATTATAACTGGCAAAAGGATTCTTAAACACAAGCGATCAAACAATGAAATTCTGCAGTATTTCCTATGGTTGAAACATTCAAGAACTTCAAAGTGCTTAAAATAAAACACACTAAACATTCAAACATTTTTAAAATAAAATTCTATTCATGAGCAAGATAGAATTATATTTTAATTCTACATTAATCCTGCCAATACGCTTTAAGGTCACTTTTTTCTAATTGAATTTCTGATTTTCATTTAAACATTGTAAAATTAAAATATGTATTAATTTTTGACTAGGATAATATATCAGAAAAGCACAATAAACATATTAAACATTCACCCAAACATTTCAGAAACCAAAAGAGTTAGTATCTAAATTTGGTCAGATTCTTTTTACTCATAGTGATGTATTCTTAAATTCAAATTACCTTAATGTATTCAAAAAGTCTCCCGATATGATTCTCTGAGTTGACTCTTAGCAAACATTTGTGACAAAATATTATCAGGAGGTAATTTAAAGAATGTTTTTCTTATCAGGGGAAAAAATCTAAAGAACGTAGAAAGCTTAGGTCAAACAATATGAAGCCAATTCTATAAATCCCTTACTGATGGATATAGAAGAAAACCAGCATGGATGTTTGGGTTACATGTGAACCATACTCCCTTCTAAATCAGTGGAGCTTAGACCTAAATTCTAAAGTGACAATTCACTTAACAAATATTGAGTGTCTGCTACCTACAAGCTCTCTACCTCACTACCTATATCAGAATTTGTTATTAAGACATGCCATTTTTATTCTACAAAAAAATAGCAATGAAAATGATCGTTAGGATTTTACTAACATTCCCTTAATCAGAGGTTCTTATTATAACCCTGCCCATCGCTTTGCTCATGAGAGAAACATTACACATCTTCCTCATGCAATTCTCCTTTGTATGTGGACAGAAAAAGAATATTGGCTATTTCTTCAGGTATGAATGCAGAACTACCTTACTACTACAACAGACTAATTTTGGAATTATAACTTGAGAAACTTATAAAATAATGCAACAGAAAAAAAGTAGGGTAGCAAATATTCAAGTATTTTAATCACTTAAATCAGTATCCGATGACTCTGAATTTGATGAAGAAGAGATCATTTCTGAAACTGACGATGATTCAGATGTGTAATTGCTGTATCCATGTTTAAGAGTACGGATATAGTAATTCATAGATTTAACACACATCTTCCATTCACGTCCACTTTCTGATAGATCACATCTCGGGTAGTTTTCTTGGAGAAACTCTGGTGGTAAAGTCCCAAAACATAAGTTACTAAGTAATCACTTTTCAGGGAAATTAATTTATTCAACCTTAGTTCTATTGCTATATCTATAAAAGGGTCATTAAGAGTTTAAAACATATGGACTATAACTATTATTAAATTAGTTTAATAAATCTTTTCATCTAAGAGGAACTACAATTCTAGTCAAAAAGAGTTTCTTGGGGTTTGCTTCTAGTTTTGCAAATGAGGAAAGCTACATTTCAGAGTTAGTCCCCACTGAAAATTTGGGTTAACTTAAGTACATCTGAATTTAGTCACTGAATCAGATTGTGAAAGATTAGGAAAATATTTATATGATGAATTACTGAAGAAAATGGAAATATTTAACTGTAAAAGTATAAGACTTAGTGGGAAGAAACTGGGAATAACACTTATTCTCCAATCCTCATGCTTGCAGGTGGAGGGATCCCTAAATTAGAAAGTTTGGAAAAACTGGCATGTGTGAACAACAATAAAGCTATTTTTATCTCGACCTGCCAGATACCACTGGATCTCACTTGGTTTTGAACTTTAAAGTAAAGGTAGAGGCTGTATTTATTACTTCCTGATGATCCAGCAGGAAGAAATAGCTATATTTACATACTTGAAGACCTATCATGTGAAAAGTGACTGGATCTACCCTAATTAGCTCTGGAAGAGATAAGAAGAACAAATGTGTCTCAGTTGAAGGGAGATAAATTGTTAGTCACTTGGAGGAAGAACTTTCTTGTGAATTAAAGACCTTTTAAAATGTAGTGGATTAAATAAATAAATAAATAAAATTTATTGGACTGCCATCAATTGAAGTGTTCAAGCCAAGGAAAGGCGACTATATGCCAAAACTGATATGGGAATTCCTGCTTGGGTAAGTACTAGAGGACCTGTAATGTATTCCTATTGCTAAGATTTTACAGTTCTGTAATGTGCAACAATGGATGGGGAGGGTATAGGAGTAAAAGATAATTGCTGATTGCAAATCTGCAGCCTACTAACTTTCTCCATCTAAAACATTCTCTAAAGAGCCTTTAAACAATACTGAGCTCTTATCAGAAAGCAATGAACAGTTTCTTATATGAAATCAATATATTTGGCTACTGGACATACTAACCCTTGACTTCTATCAGAAGTGGTCCCCTCCCACTTCTAGGACTATATCCCAAGAAACCAGAAACACCAATCAGAAAGGATATATGCATCCCTATGTTCATAGCAGCACAATTTACAATAGCTAAGATTTGGAAACAACCTAAGTGCCCATCAGCAGATGAGTGGATTATAAAACTGTGGTACATGTACACAATGGAACACTACACCGCTATAAAAAAAAAAAAAGGAACTTTTTACCATTTGCAACAGCATGGATGGAACTGGAAAGCATTATGCTAAACAAAATAAGCCAGTCAGAGAAAGATAAATATCACATGATTTCACTCATATGTGGGATATAATGATCAACATAATTTGATGAACAAGAATAGATCCAGAGACAAATTACAGGGGAGTGTGGGGTTAGAGAGCAACCAAAGGACTTGTATGCATGCATATTTGCATAACCAATGGACACAGACACTGGGGTGGTGGGGGCTTGCCCAGGGTGAGAATGGCTGGGGTGGGGGTGTCAAGCAGGGGAAAAGGATACATATGTAAAACTTTAGACAATAAAAAAATAGAGAGCATGAAAGATAAAAGAGATAGGCAAAAATGATCCAAAATATGAATAATTGGAATTATTTCAATTGGAGGAAAACTAGAATAATGGAGTAAAGAATACACTGAAAAATGTTCAGAAAGAATACTTTAATTTTCTATTAAAAAACTTCAAGATATGTGAAAAAAAGAAGTGGTCCCCCCAAAATAAAAATCTTAGGATAAGAAATTATATTTTTTTTTCTTTTTCTGACAAACGTTTATTTTTCTAGGATAAGAAATTATATTAATAAGCCCTGCGGGTGTAGCTGAGAGATTGAGCGTTGAACCAGGAGGTCACGGTTCGATTCCCAGTCAGGGCACATACCTGGGTTGTGGGCTCAATCCCCAGCAGGGAACATGAAGGAGGCAACCGATCGATGATTCTCTCTCATCATTGATGTTTCTATCTCTCTCTCCCACTCTTTTCTTCTCTGAAATCAGTAAAAAAAACATTTTTAATAAAATAAATTATCTTAATAGAAGAATCTAGTTCATTCATTCAATGGGACCCTAATCAGCAGTTACAATTCATGAAGTACATCTCAAAAAAATAATGTCAAGTGTCAAGTGAAAAAAATTGCAAAAGGGTATGTACTATACATCCCATTCATGCACATTAAAACAACTGTGAAGTAATATCACATATTACTTATGGGTTTATCAACATAGGTAGCAAAAGTATGAAATATACATGGGGATAATAGGTCCAACTCCAAGACTGTGATTATTTCTGGGAGAAAGACAGGGAAAAGAAATGATGTGTAATTCAAATTCTGAGAACCTCACTTAAGGAGTTTCAATGATATCAATAATGCTTTATTCTTAAAAAAAAAAAAAAAAAAAAACCTGGAGCACAAGAGGTAAAATGTCTATATCTGCACTGGGTAGACAGATGTTTATTATTTTACTATATTATTTTCTGTACATTTTGTATATTTTGAATAGTTTATACTGAACTGATACTTCTAAAGAAATGTTAGAGGTCATAAAGCTCTGTCCTCCTATGAGTTAAGAAATCTCCTCTCATGTCTGGTCACTCAGCTTTTGCTCTAACTCTTTTCATTTTCCAAGTTCATTTTGTCCTTATATTAAAGTAAAATATGCTTTCTTGTCAGCTTCTCCTCCTTGGGGCCTGGCTCTGTCCCCCAGGACAATGATTCTACTGTATTCTATCTGTTGAAATAACTCACATGGCTATCTTTCTTCAAAGGAGTAGAACTTTGAATCTCATGGGAAATTTAAATATGCCTTATGTGGATAGTATGTCAAACTCATGTTGAATATTTTTACTATAAAAGACATCTTGATTTGTAATATAATTCAATAAGAGATAAAACAAAATGAAATGCATAGAATAATATTTTAGTCCACTTTTAAGGAATTAATCTAGTCCAGATATTTAAAGAACTATAAAAGTCATCTTTTCCTCCTCATTTAAAAAATTTTAATTAGAAAGACACCATTTCTTCTATAAACACTTTCACTTCAAAATTGGTTAAAAATACTATATTCTTTTTTTACCATAAGGTAAGAGGAATTGGGTTTTGGGTTTGTTTGTTTTTTAACCAATTACTAGGTCATGAAAGAGGTTATAGCAACACTTTCAAAAAATGTAATAGAATAGAATGTAACTCTCATAAAACGAGTATTGTTTGTGAAAATTTTACTTCTGTTTTTTTTTTAATCACACACATATGGAGTCACAATGTAAAATGTATTTCTTACTATGGATTACAGTAAAGTAAGTTTTAAAACAATTGGATTAGATGTTAGCAAATGCTTATAAAGGGTGCTATAAGCCAGGTTTCTTTAGTTTAGCCTGAAACATGAGTGCTGTTCAAATTTGTTGGATGAGAATCATGTGATAGGATGGTGGGAATCAACTGAGATGAGGCTGAGACTCAGAACTATGTCTGCTAGGTACTAGTGACACAAGTAACACATATTCTGCTTCCTGTTTTGACCAAACCTAAGATTACACAGAATTGCTTTTGGAAGCTTTATTTCTTCATCTATATATGTCACAGATAAAGACTACACCATGCTCATGTGCACACAAAAAAACTGGCAAATGAGCCTGCTGTGCTATTGTTGACACTTCTGCAAATTGACAAAGCCCAGCAGCTTTGAGCTTGATCCTCAGTAAATGAAGGTATTTGAGTTTCCAAACTCCTGGCAGTCCATACCAGGGAGCCACAGTCAATAATGCCTTTCTTGTTCTAATAATGCCATTCAAGGCACAGCAATTAGCCTGAGGACACAAATGCAGAAAGAAACAATCCATAAACCTGTTCTTTGTTATGCCCTAATAAGGGATATGTAAGAAGTCTCTCTCCTCAGAACACACACAGACTGAATGGATTTTCTTTTGCCCTTCTCTAACACAATTGGCATTTATTTATTTTCATATATTTGACATGTACCAACCTCGGAGAGCACTAATCATATTGTAGTTAAGGGCACATACGCCTTGCCACAGATTGCCATAGATGGTACTGTTTAGTAGGACTTCCTCTGGAAACAGCTGGCCAATAAGATAGCTGGCTGACATCTGCGGGCAAGCCTTTCTTTTTGCTATCATCAGTACTGAATATGACACCTGTACATTTCTACTTGGATTTCCAATATAGTCTAGAAGCAAAAGAGAAAGATGTCAATTTTTATGGCAGATATTAAGCTCACATTTTTTAAAATATATTTTTATTGATTTCAGAGAGGAAGGGAGAGGGAGAGAGAGATAGAAACATCAACGATGAGAGAGAATCACTGATCGGCCACCCCCTGAACACCCCTTACTGGGGATCAAGCCTGCAACCCGGGGACATGCCCCTGACCAGAATTGAACCCGGAACCTCCCAGTCTGCAGGATGACGCTCTACCCACTAAGTCAAACCGGCTATGGCTAAACTCACGTTTTTTAAAGGGCGTAATAGAAAGGTTGATTTTTCTGGAATCTTAGGTTCAAGAATTTGAGAGATTAAAAAATTAAAGCTTTTACATTTTTAGTGTATCATAAGACAGCATGAGAAATGAGACAGGAATCACTACTGGTGTGATTACATGTGCTTTGTTTCTTTGAGAGTACATAATATTACATTTAGTAACAAATTCTAAGTCATTTTAATGCATTGTTTTCGTACTTGTTAAAAAAAGGCCTTTTCAAAAATAAGCACCAGGATTCTTGCTGAAATATTTATAATTCTTAAAATACCAATGACATATTTCACAGATCTAGAACAAATATTCTAAAATTTTATATGGAACTAAAAAGATCCTGAACGGCCTCAGATATCTTGAGAAAGAAGAACAAAGTTGCAGGTATCACAATACTGGATATCAAACTATACTACAAGGCCATAGTATTCAAAACAGCCTGGTTACAGGCATATAGATCAATGGAACAAAACAGAGACCCCAGAAATCAAGCACAATGGCTCAATGAATATTTGACAATGGAGGAAAGAACGTGCAATGGACTAAAGACAGTCTCTTCAATAAATTGTGTTGGAAAAATCTGACAGGTTCCTGCAAAAAAAAGAAAAAAAAAAAGAAACCATACCACCAACTTACACCATATACAAGAATAACCTCAAAACAGATAAAAGGCTTAAATGTAAGTCATGAACCCATAAAATTTCTAAAAGAAAACATAGGCAGTAAAATCTCAGACATCTCTTGGAGCAATATTTTTGGTTGATATATTCATCCCTTAAGGCAAAGGAAACAAAAATACACAAGTGGGAATATACCAAACTAAAAAGCTTCTGCACAGCAAAGGAAACAATCAACAAATTGAAAAGAGAACCCACTGAATGCAAGAACATATTTGCCAATGGTACATCTGATAAGGAGTTAATTTCCTAAATTTATAAAGAACTTACACAACTCAACACCAAGAAAACAAATAATCCAACTTAAAAATGGGCAAAGGACCTGAATAGACACTTCTCCTAAGAGAACATACAGGTAGCCAATAGACATGAAAAAATGCTCAAAGTCACTAGTCATCACAGACGTGCAGATTAAAGCCACACCTGTCAGATGGCTATCATCAATAAATCAACAAATAAATAGTGCTGTCAAGGATCTGGAGAAAAGAGAACGCTCAGGCAATGTTTCTGGGAATGCAGACTGGTGCAGCCACTGTGGAAAATAGTATGAAGTTTCACCAAAAAATAAAAAATGGAACTGCCTTTTGACCCAGTGATCCCACTCCTGGGAATATATCCTAAGAATCCCAAAACACCAATTCAAAAGAATATATGCACCCCTATGTTCATAGCAGTGTCATTTACAATAGCCAAGATCTGGAAACAGCCCAAGTGCCCATGAGTAGCTCAGTGGATAAAAAACTATGGTACACAATGGAATATTACACGAGTATAAAAAAAAGAAGGAACTCATCTTCTGTGTCTGCATGGATGGATCTGTAAATTATTATGCTAAGTGAAAAAAGCCAGACAAAGACAAATACCATATTATATCCCTTATATGTGGAATCTAATTAACAAAATAAACTAATGAACAAAATAGAACCAGAGTCTTAGATACATGGTACAGACTGATAGCTGTCAGAGGAGAGGGGAATGGGGAAGACTGGATGAAAGAAGGTGAAGAGATTAGCCAAAGAAAATATATGCATAGACCAGTGGTCGGCAAAGCTGCGGCTCAGCAAACTGCGGCTCTTTGGTCCCTTGAGTGTGGCTCTTCCACAAGATACCGACTTCTGCGCATGGGCCACGAAGTTTCGATCGCATTGTATGTGCACGCCCACATGTGGTATTTTGTGAAAGAGCCAAACTCAAGGGGCCAAAGAGCCGCATGTGGCTCACGAGCCGCAGTTTGCCGACCACTGGCATAGACCATGGACACAGACAACAGTGTGGTGATGGCCAGAGCCAGAGGGAGAGGGGCAAAGTGGAGGTGGGTAAAGGGGAGGGAAATGGGTGACATCTGTAATAGTGTCAACAAGAAATTTTTCTAAAAATGAACACAACAAAATAAAGAAAAATGTAGGTTTTTATTGGGTATTAAACTTATTTAAAAATTAACAACCTCAGTTTAGATATATTTTAGGTAACTTATTTGCACTGAAAAATTAATTTCAAGCCTATTTTCATTTTTCAATTCTATGATTTAATCATTACCATCTCTCTTCAGTCCATAGTGATTCAAATTAACCATACTTGAAAAATTTATGTTACATATAATAAATAATTATTTGTTGAAGAAAAGATATTAGAGAAATACAATGTGATTCTTACAAGCCAAGTATAGTATTCATCTTGGAATATCCATCATTTAATGGGTGGCAATATAAATTGTTTAATCCCCCAGATCCAACATTTACCGAGAGATTAAATTACTTAAAAATTCACTCAGCGGGTCCAAAGATGTAACTCTAGAAGATTAACCTGGCAATATTAATGAAGGGTCAGAAAAAAGTTGATACTCTTTAACCTGGTAATTCAAATTCTGAAGCCTCACTTAAGAATCAAAAATATGTAAAAAGTTATAGGAATGAAGTTGGGGTTTTTGGCAGCATGATTTGCATGATTGATAATCCTGTCCAAAAAAAATGCAAAAACATAAAGGGAGAGGTAGTTACATAAATTAGGGTACGCTTACTCAATGGAATGTTATACACCTGTTAAAAGATTGGAGATTCTTGAGGAAAAACATATACATATCATGTTTAAAATGAATAGTAATTATTATATGGAGAACATAATGTTTTCAAAGATTCATTAAAAAACTGGAATAAAATTAAAGCATCCATAATAGTTTTTTTAAAGTATCTTGATTGTGAGAGCTTTACTTCCCTCCTAAATATGTGTGTGTGTGTGTGTGTGTGTGTGTGTGTGTACACTGAGTGGCCAGATTATTATGACCACCCCATCAGTACTTCATTGGGCCACCTTTTGCCTTCAATACTGCAGCGATTCTTCTTGGCATTGACTCCACGAGATGTTGAAAGGTGATGCGAGGAATCTGACACCATGCCTGATGGATAGCACTGTCCAGTTCTGTGAGATTTGATGGTTGGGGAACCAGCTGCCTGATGGCTCTTTTAACTTCGTCCCACAAATGCTCAATTGGATTGAGATCTGGAGATTGTGGGGGCCACCTAAGCAAGGTAAAGTGTCCCTCATGTTCTTGAAACCACTCCTGTACAATATGAGCACCATGGCATGGCGCATTGTCTTGTTGGAAGAAGCCATCTCCATTGGGATATGCCATCAACATGATAGGATGAACTTGATCAGCAATGATACTTAGGTATATTGTGCTATTCAGATATTTATAATGGTCTGGCCCTCTAGCAACTTCAGCAAGAAATTATAGCTAATTTGCGTACAAACATCAGGTGGTCATAATAATCTGGCCACTCAAAATATATATATATATATATATATATATATATATATATATATATATATATATCCTATATAATAAAAGGCCAGTGACCATAATAGCATAACAACCAGAATGACCGATTGACCAGTCGCTATGAGGTGCATTGACCACCTCTTGGTCCCTCCCCCGAACCCGCAGGCTCGGATCGCTGGATGGCCAACAGGGAACCACAGTGGAACCTGGGTGGGTGGCAGCGGGGCGGGACAGTGGACTGACGATCGGACAGTAGGCAGACCTCTTGGTCCCTTCCCCGGCCAGCAGACTCCAATTGCTAGATGGCGAACGGGGAACCAGGGTGGGTGGTGGTGGGGCAGGACTGGGGACCGGTGAGTGGGTGGAAGATGGCCCTGATCACAGGCTAGGCCTAGGGACCCTACCCATACATGATTTCATGCACTGGGCCTCTAGTGTACATATATAAAAGCCTAAGTGACTGTTCAGTTGACCAGTTGCTATGATGCGCACTTACCACCAGGGTACAGATTCTCAATGCAGGAGCTGCCCCCTGGTGGTCAGTGCACTCCCACAGCCAACCTCCTGCAGTCCCTCCCCACAGCTGGCCAGCCCTGATCAGCCCCAATCAGGACTGGGTGAGACGGCCCTGCTTGGCCTCAATCACCCCCACCCATGCATGAATTTGTGTACTGGGCCTCTAGTTTTTTTTAAATAAAATGGTATAATAGACTACACACAAACTGGGGAGTCTTCCTGGCTCACAATGCACTTAGTTGCCCTGTCCCCTAGTTCTAGCTGAGTCAGAGTCAGAGACCTTTGACCCAATCTCCCTAAAATAGATTATTTCTCCAGAGAATCAGAACAGTGACAAGAGAAACCTATAACCTAGATATCATGGGAGCTGCAGACACGGAGCCACATTCTGGCTCCTGCTTGTGGCTCAGTTTGTTCTTTGCTTCTTTAAAATAAGAGCTATTCATCCTGTGATTTTTGTTGTGGTGGTTTAATTTAGCCAGTATGTTTCTACCATGTACAACCTTAACAAATACAGTAGTTATATTACTTTTATAATGAGAAAAATACTCTAAAGATGTATCATTTATACAGGTATTGGCCAGGATGTGGAGAAAAGGGAACTCTTGTGCACTGCTGGTAGGAATGCAGACTGGTGCAGCCACTGTGGAAAGCAGTCAGTTTGGAGTTATCTCAAATGAAAACTGGAGATTTTGGAGTTTGGGAACACCTGAGGTAGCAAAACTGTCTACCTTATGACCCAGATATTCCACTTCTGGGAATATAACCAAAGAAACCCAAAAGACTAAGTTGAAAGAATATATGCACCCCTATGTTCATTGCAGTGCTATTTACAATAGCCAAGATCTGAAAACAGCCCAAGTGCCCATCAGTAGATAAGTGGATTTTTAAAAATATGTGGTACATTTACACAATGGAATACTACTTACCCATACAAAAGAAGGAAATCTTAGCTTTTGCAACACATGGATGGGCCTGGGGAGCACTATGCTAAGTGAAATGAGCCCGTCAGAGAAAGACAAGTCCATATGATTTTACTCATATGTGGAATATAATGAACAAAATTAACTAACAAACAAAATAGAAACAGACTCATAGATAGAGAGACTGACAACTGTCAAAGTAGAGGGGGATTGTGGGGCTGGTTGAAAAAGGTGAATGGGTTAAGCAAAAAAACAAACTCACAGACACAGACAACTGTATGGTGATTACCAGAGGGGAAGGGGTAGGAGGAGACAGAAAAGAGTATAGTCAGGATAAATAGTGATGGAAGGAGGCTTGACTTGGGGTTGTAAACACATAATACAATATAGAGATGATGTATTATAGAATTATACACCTGAAACCTATATAATTTTATTAACCAATGTCACCCCAATAAATTTAATAAAAATGAAATAAAGTTGGAGAGAGAAAAAAATAATTTCGTATGAATAGGTTCACAGGTAATGTTCTACTTAGGGTTGATATAGAGGCGGTGAGAGACAGAAGATAGTTTTGCTACCTCAGGTGTTCCCAAACTCCAAAATTCTGGGGAGAGATCATGGAGAAGCATGGGTCAGCTGCAGAATCTACTGCCACGTGATACTAGTGAAGCAGGATGCATCTCCAGCAGACAGCTAGCATAAGGGTACAATGTTCTGAATAATGGGATTCATTAATTCACACAGAAACTCTACAGAACACCGCAATGTGCCTGGCACACAGAGCAAGACCCCTTAATAGCTTCTATCTCAGCCAGCTGTAGCTCCCTCATCTTTACTTGCAGAGCAGGGTGCCTAACCTGAGAGTTCACACCAGTCAAAGGAGTTAGCTACCAAGACCCATTTTCCAAAGGAAAAAATAACAGATTTTGCTTAATATTAAAACAATCAGTCTCAGAACTAAGTATCTATATTTCAATAATTCACTAAAATAAGTGATTATGCTGTTTATAGTTCTTATTATGAACATTTTCAAGCATACATAAAAGGAGAAAGATAGTATAATAAGCACCATAAGAGCATCAACCAGATTTAACATCAAGAGAAGTTATTTTTAAACTCACGTAATTCTCTGTAAGGTGCCATTGAAGCACTAGTGGAAGGTCCTTCAAATCCTTCAGGGACAGCAATGCTGTTTGGCTGAGAATTCCCATTTGCATTTGTTTCTGAGGCAACTTCTTGCTTAGGTAATAGGAAACTGCCTTTATCACCATCAGCATCCCTTTCATCATCCAAATCTACAGATGCTGGTGTACTGCGTTTGGTGGGGACAACAGTTTTCTGCTGAAACACAAAATTGTATCTATTAACAATGCTCCATAGTGAGAAAGAATGAACATGCTCCATCATTGACCCAAAGCACTCCAGGCTGGTGTGAAAGCAACTGTCTCTAATAAGACTTAAGATATTGTGTGTTATGATCAAAGAAATATAGGTGCAAATTCTTCCTCAAGCTGCTGTAACTTCTACTTCCTGGTTGATTTCGTAGCTCTATCTAATGAACTGAATGATAATAGCTGGCCGAAAATAAACATTTCATGAATAAATGAATAAGTGAGTTTCTTGAAGATCACAACTTTTTGTTTGTTTTTCAATGTTTTTTTGTTTGTTTTCTTTCCCCAATGGGTTTCAAATCTGGCTACACATTTGAACATTTGAATTACCCTAGGGATCTTTTTTTTAAAAAAAGAAAGCTCTGCTTGGGTCCCACTCTAAGCAAATTTAATCAGAAATTCTGGTGCGAGGAGTGAGGGAGCTCAGGGATTAATATCTTATTTTAAAAATGTCTCACATGATTTAATATATACCTGGGGTTGACAACCACTGCTCTAGGTCAGGGCTTCTCAAACTCCAATGTGCACATGAATCACCTGGGGGTGTTGTTAAAATGCAAATTATGCCTCTTGGTGTGGAACTCAAGACTTCATTTATCACAAGCTTTCCAGTGCTGCTGCTACTGGTCCACAGATCCACTTTGAGTGGCAAGGACCTGCCCAACTCCTAGTCAAGTACACAGCAAGCACTTGGCAGATGCTGCTTCTCTTCTGATGTCTAAGCAAATGTGCAAATTACCATTTTCCATGCAGTATCTTAATCTTACATTCAAATGTTTAGGGTGAAATTTTTGTAGGCTATAAAAGGGAATGTGAAAAATAAGCAAATTTGGTTTCAGACAGATGATACTTGAGCTATCACTGAATTCAAGTCATTCACCATAAAAACATAAGCTCAGCTACAAATATTCTTGGCAAACAGTTTCCATAAACTTACTCTAGAGATACAGGAGTGACTAAACATGGTAATAATAAAATGGGGTTTTTCAAGAGGTGGGTGGAAATTAGGAATTGTCATTAAGTTTGTCAGGAGAAGGCCATAGACATGATAATCTTCCCTACTGTCCCATTCATGTTTTAAAAAAAAATTTATAATGGATATTGAAGGTAGAATGGATGATAGAGAAGCCAGATTCCTATTTACCATGTAACCATACAGAATATAAAATATCTGTAATAACTTAGCCTGAGATGCATTATTTTCACCAGGTTTTGCCATCACTAAAAGTGAAATGGTAAAAAAAAAAAAAGTGCCTTCCTTTTCTCCTGTGCCATCCTGAACTATCACTAGAACAGCTAAGCAGAACCACAGTCTGCTCTTTTCTGTGTAACTCAGTGGGATACTGAAAAAAATTGCCAAATATCTTTGTAGTTGAAACATTTTTATCTAGCCCCCTTTGGCTTACACATACTAATTATAACACTATATCTGGATATTTTTCTGGAGCATAAATACCAAAGAGTGAAATAAACAGGCAGTATTTTTTTGAGAGAACATATCCTGCACCTAAAGTAAATGAACAAGATTTTGACCACATGCCTGAAGATCCTGTGTGTTGTGCTTTCTGTTCTGGAGTTGTATACAGAATGCATTTGTACAGCAGTGACCATATTTAGATGAAAAATAACTTACTGCTTTTTTTTGGGCTGCAGAACGTAAATAACGGAGCAGAGAATTGACATAGGAAATACAGGCTTTCCATTCTCCTCCACATTCATGCAAATCATGGTTGGGAAAATTTGTTACCAGATGCTCTGCAAATAGCATGAAGGATTCATGAAAATTAGAAAAAAATAACAAAGAAACATAAGAAACGTTTTATTTAGAATACTGAAATTTTCTATTTTTAATTTTTTAATTTTTTATTTTTTTAAATATATATTTTATTGATTTTTTACAGAGAGGAAGGGAGAGAGATAGAGAGTTAGAAACATCGATGAGAGAGAAACATCGATCAGCTGCCTCTTGCACATCTCCCACTGGGGATGTGCCCGCAACCCAGGTACATGCCCTTGACCAGAATCGAACCTGGGACCTTTCAGTCCGCAGGCCGACGCTCTATCCACTGAGCCAAACTGGTTTCGGCTCTCATTTCTTCTAATGAGAGTTCCCTAAAACACTGACCAAAGGACCAGTAATCAGATTTTGGTGCTTTAAAGTGTAAAAAAGTCAAATATTTCAGGGTGCTAATGCCATTTAATAACCCTATGGATAATTTAGAAATAAAAGAAAATCTGTAAAGATAAAATTGTATTATTGCAAATATTATTATACCATGATTTATTTGTACACATAACATGTTTATCTTCCCCATAAACTATTCCCTCTGCCTAGAATATCCTTCCTATTTTCCTTACCTCCTTAAGGAATCCTTCCAAATCCAGCTTAAATGTCTTGTTCTTAGTAAGCCTTCCCTAATGCCCTCAAAGTAGTTGCCCTGCTCTCTGAGGTTTCACAGCATTACTACATTGGGTTGTAATTTATTGTTTCCCTCAATATATCCATTTCTAGACTATGAACTCCTTTCAGACAAAAATACTTATCCTTATATCCTCAGTGCCTATGAGTTCTAGGACTGCCATACACATTTCTGGAAGACAGGATGCTAAAGTGGATTAATCATGAGAGTCTACGTCTGTGTTGCCAGTTATTAGCACTAAAATGTGTTTTATTTTCCCACATTTATTTTTTGGCTTTTTCTTTGTTTTGTTTTAGTACTAAGTTTCAGCACTGAAGAACTGACTTAGTACTAACCATAAGGAACTATAATCAATAAAGCTTGTCTTATTCCACCAGTCTATGGACAAGTTTTATTCTTCAGAAGTTGCTACCCATTACACACCATTATATTGTAAAATCTGGATCAGACAGGTGAAAAAGTGAACAGTTCTAAGATTTAACAACACTTCATCATTATTTCTTCAACTGCCAAAAACATCCACCAAATGACCGATGATGATAAAACAAGATTCCATAATGACTTTACATACCTCTTAATGCAGCCATTATATTTGGATCTAGGGGTTGGCGGTTTTTAGGGTTTCGTCGGCTGTTACTGGTAACTGCTATACTGCAAAGAAGGACTTCTCTGGAGAACAAATTGCGAACCAAGTAGCGGGCTGCATGTTTAGGTTCGGGCTTCTTTTGTGCATTCATCAAAAACACTTTATGAATCGTGACATTTCTTTTTGGATCACCAAGATATCCTTTAAAAATACAGGAAACAAGCAAAATCTTTGTTTTTTTCAGCCGAAGCTACAATGAAAGTGCCCAAGAAAACTAACCTAATTGATTTCTAATTCATAAATTTCTACTTAGGTGAATTTTGTTCTATACTTATCTCTTTTTTTCCTTAAATGACTTTCTTTGATGTCAACTTCATTATTGTTAGCATTTTTCACTTTTGCTAGTCTTGAATTTGCTATACTTAAACTAATCTGTTCCTTGCCCGGTGCTCGAATTTATGCATGGGTGGGGTCCGGGCGGCCCACCCAATTGGGGCTAATTGGGGGCGGGACCGGCTGTAGGGAAGGGCCACAGGCAGTTGGTCGGCCAGCCCCACACCAATCGGGGTGTGTGGGGCCGATCAGAGCCGCAGTGCGAGTCAAAGCAACTGGTTGTTCTGGTCATTCTGGTCGTTTAGGTGTTCGGGTCTCTTGGCTTATATATATATATATGTTGTTCTGAGATCACATTGCTCCTTTTTGATGCTCTAAAAGTAAACTCATATATTACTGAGTGAATATATGTTCACTGAAGACAATTTGGAAAGTGTATATAAGTATAACAGAATATTTTAAAATAGCTAGCATTTATTGAGTATCCAGCACTGTGCTAAATATTTTATATCTATAAGCTCGGTTTCACGACCCTAACAACTTAATCCCACTTAGCAGATGAGGAAATTAAATCCAAGAAAAGGTAAGATATTTGAACAAGATCACACTGCTGATTATAGAACCAGTCTTTTTTTTCCAGTCTAATTAACATATTACCCTTTTATTAGTACAGATTGTAACAAACATCAACAAGCCATCTAGTATGCATTCTTGTCTGTTCCCAGACATGTTGGCCACTCCACATATCAGGAGCAGTAGGGGACTCTAAGAGCTGAGCGCCTTACTACATGATTTCTTTTTTATTATTATTATTAAATCTTTATTGTTCAGATTATTACGGTTGTTCCTCTTCCCCCCCCCATAGCTCTCCTCCACCCAGTTCCCACCCCAACCTCTGCCCTTACCCCTCCCACTGTCCTCATCCATAGGTGTACAATTTTTGTCCAGTCTCTTCCTGCACCCCCCACACCCTTTTCCCCCCAAGAATTGTCAGTCCACTCCTTTTCCATGCCCCTGGTTCTATTACTATTAAAATATTGATGAATGTAGATTAAAGAATGGTACTTATAATATTTATTATTTCAAACTCACCATAACCAGGAGTGATGAAGTGAGATTCTGAGTAAATATTTTCTTGTTTAATCTCATTTTTCACTGAAATTGGGTAAATCGTTGTCTCAGATTTTATTTCTGTGGTGGAATCTGTTTGAACAACATTTTGTTAAGTAAAACATTTTAAAGTGCTGAAAGATAAGAGAGTTCAACAGTAATTTTATATCAGGCAGAACTATCCTTCAGGAATGAAGGAGAAATAAAGCCATCCACATACATAAGAAAACTAAAAGAAAAAATTGTTACTAGCTGATGTACTCTTAAAAATGGGTAAAGGAAAATCTTCAAACAATATGATGAAGGAAGAAATCTTGGACCATGAAGAAGGAAGAAAGAACAAAACAAAGAGCACAGAAACTTGATTACTCAAACCTGACTGATGGGAATATAAAACATTACAGCCACCCTGGAAAACTGTTTGCCAAAATTTTACAAAACACTACTTACCACTGCCAAAGAACCCAGTAACTATGCGGTTAGGCATTATCCCAGAGCAATGAAAAACTGATATTCATACAGAAACCTGTACATAAGTGTTCACAGAAGCTTTATTCCTTATAGCCAAACTGGAAACAACCCAGATGTCCTTCAACCACTGAATAGATAAACAAACCATGATACGCCCATACCATGAAATAATACTCAGCAATAAAAAATAATGAACTACTAATATAAACAGAAACTTAAATAAATCAGCACAAAATAATGCTGAACGAAAAAAGGCAAACCAAAAAAGTTACATACTATGTCTGTCCATTTACATCAGGGGTCTTCAAACTTTTTAAATAGGGGGCTAGTTCACTGTCCCTCAGACCGTTGGAGGGCCGGACTATAGTTAAAAAAAAAAACACAAAAAACTATGAACAAATTCCTATGCACACTGCACATATCTTATTTTGAAGTAAAAAAACAAATACAATATTTGTATTTGCATGTGGCCCGCGGGCAGTAGTTTGAGGACCCTTGATTTACATAAACCTCTGGAAAGACAAAATGATAAAGAAATAAAAGCAGATTGCTTAGAGATAAGAACAGGGGGCAAGACAGAAGTAGGTAAGTAAAGGGAGAAAGGCACATGGGTAGTAGAAGAAATCCTTGTGGTGATGGAAATGTTCTGAATCTGGACTATGATGGATGACATAAAACCTACTCCTTACATGAATTATATAAAATCGAATATAACTAAACATACAAACATAAACACACATAAAAATAAGTACATCTCAATAAAATATGTTGATTTCATCAATGACTATGTCCTGGATTTGACATTGTACAATGGCTAAAGTGTACACAAACTCTTTATGTATTGTTTCTTACAATTGCATGTGCAGTTAAATTTTACTCAAAAAAAATTTTAATTTTTAATTAATTAGTTTTAATTAATTTTAATTAGGAAAAACTAACACTAGCTTACATGAGGATGTTAATGAATCTACATTAAACAGTGCTATTTGTAATATGTATAATTTCAAACTCACTCCCATGAGAATGGATGAGGACCCTTGGCGTATCTTGACCACCTTCGTTATTTCCCAAGACTCCTGGGTTATTCACCATCTGAGTGTTCTCTTTCTGTTTGATCTGTGTTTTGTCCATTTCTACAAGGAAAACATTTTTCAAATTCTGTAAGAAAAGACTTCCAAACTTCTAAACTATATCAAACCAAATTATCCTTCAGTAATGAAGCAAAAATAAATATATTTACAGACAAAAAGAAACAAAAAATTTGTCACTGATTCATGTTGAAAAATTGCTAAAGGAAAATCTTCAAACGGAAAAGATATACAGTGTAATAGAAAAAAAAACTGAAACAAGAAGTACAAAGGAACAAAGGAAAGTGCACAGATATGGATGCAGAAAAACTGGTCCACTCATATATTGCTGATGGGAATAGAAAATGGTAAAGCCACACTGGCTAGCAGTTTGTCAGTTTCTTATCAAAAACTAAGAAAGCAAACACTGAAGGACCAAAAATTGTACTCTTGGACATTCATCCCAGAGAAATGAAAACTGTGAAAGTGTGAAATCAATGAAATGAACCAAGATTTTAAAATATGAACAAGTATTATTAGCAGGTTTAACGCTAACAGCCCAGAAGAGGAATCCCAGAAGTTTTGGAAAGGTGCACAGATAAATATACCATGGAAAATCCATACCATGAAATACTATTCAGCAATAAAAAATAAGGAACAAGTGATACACACAAGGATGTGAGTTAGTCTCCAGGGACTTATACTGAGGAAAAGAAGGCAATCTCAAACACCCCAGGATTCCATTTATATAACAAAGGGAAAAATTATAAATCTGGGAAACAGATTTGTTGTTACCTGCAGCTAAAGACAGGGCAGGAGATGGAAGATGGCAGGGAGGAATGTCATCCAAAGGTTGGTGGGTGTGCTTATAAAAGAGCAATATGAGAGATCATGCTGATGATGGAACTACTTGGGGCTTGCCTGTTGTAGGGGATATGTGATAAAATCATATAGAACTAAACACACACATTACCACAAGTTAAATTGGGGGCATCTTAATAATATCTGGAGGATGTCATATAATTTATCTTACTGGTGCTAAATTTTTACCATTTTGCAAGTTCATACTGTTGATCAAATTTGGGTAGTGACAACACATAATTTCACTGTAACATTTATTACAAATGCAGGAGCAACTAAATTTTTCTGAACATATAAACTTTAATTAGAAAATGCTGCCACTATCTTTTCCCTAAGGGTATTGACAAATCTAGATTAAATATTCTACCTGTCAGATTTATTTTCAAACTCACCAAAACTGGGATGAATACAACATACAGAGGAATTGTTTGGTTAGTGTGGTTTTCCAAGAAAAGTGTATCATTTGTTGTCTCAGGGCTCTTTGCCAAGCTAGTTTGAGCTTCTATCAATATTTCTATAAATAAAATACTTTTAAGTATGGAAAGACAAGAAATATCAATCACGAATTCTATACCAGGTGAAACTAACATTCAAAGACCAAGCCGATCGTGGCAACATGGATGGACCTGGAGGGTGTTATGCTAAGTGAGACAAACCAGACAGAGAAAGACTAATACTGTGTGGTATCACATATGTGGAATCTAAAAAGAGAAACGTCAAACTTATAGAAACACAGAGTAGAATGGTGGCTGCCAGGGGCTGGGACATGAGAAAAATAGGGAGAGGCTGGGTAAAGGGGTACAAACTATCAGTAAAAAAGTGAACTAACATCAGAGGATGTATTACATGGTGACTATAGTTGATAATGCTGTATTGTATAATTTAAATTGGCTTAGAAAGTACAAGTTCAGAGTTCTCACAACAAAATATAACAAGGTACATAGGGGAAATGATGGATGTGTTAATTAACTTGATGGTGAGAATCCTTTCAAAATGTATGTGTGTATCAAATCATCACATCGTACAATATAAATATATTACTATTTTATTTGTCAATTATATATCAATAAAGCTGAAAAATGACCATTCAGGTATTTTTAAAAAGAATAAAGATGAAATAAAGACATTATCACACAAAAAAAAGCTGAAAATATATCTCAATAGGCAGTTTACACTTGAGAATGGCTAGAGGAATATCTCCTATCAGAAAAGAATGAGAAAAGAAGAAATCTTGGAGCATCAAAGAAGAAAGAAGGAATAATGAAAGCATCAGAAACATGGAGATCTAAAAACTGGGAAAATCATAGCTTGCTAGGAGAATAGTAAAAGGGAACAGGCTCTCTGGTAAATTGTTGGCAGTTTCTTATAACACTAAACATGCCATTAACATGCAGCTAAGCATCTGAACTCTTGGGAAATCCAAACTTATGTGTACACAAAAATTGTGTACATGAAGAGTCAGCAAAAATGTACCTTTAATACTGAAAACTGGAAAAATCCAGATGTTCTTCAACAAAGAACCAATATACAAACTGTGGTACATCCATACTATGGGAAAGTCCTCAACAACAAATAAGAAGGAAGTACCAGTGCATACCACAAGTGAACTGAATATCCAGGGATTTAGGCTGAAACAGGTGTAGTTTAAAAGGGTGAAAGGACACATCAGAATGGGGATGGACATGTCCTATATCTTGACCAAAGTGGTTAAAATCAAACCTACTCATATGACAAAATCAAACAGACCTAGACCACACATACAAATCAATACAATTAAACCAGAGGTGGAAAAATCTGTAGATTGTATCAATGTCAACATCCTGGTTGTGGTATTGTGCTATAGTTTTGCAATATGTTATCATTGGGGGAAACTAGTTCAACTGTACACAAGATCTCTCTGTATTGTTTCTTATAATTGCATGTGCAGTTAAATTTCACTCAAAATAAAACTTTAATATTTAATTAGCTAATTTTAATTGAATTTTCATTAGAAAAAGCTACCACTAGCTCATATTAAGGATATTAAAGACTCTACATTAAACAGTGCTATTTGTAGTCTGTATCCTTTCAAACTCACCATCATCACAAAGGATGAGGACATGTGCAATATCTCGACCACCACTGTTATTCCCCAACATCTGTTTGTTATTCATCGTCTGAGTGTTCTTTCCCCAAGTGTTTTGTGCTTTGCCTCCTTCTATAAGAAAAGAAATTTTCAAATGCTATAAAAAAAGACTACCAACCTCATATTCTATATCCAATGAAAATATTTCAGAATGTAGCCAAAATAAAGATATTTACACACAAAAGGAAACCAAAAGTACTTGTCACTAATTCATGTTTTAAAATGCTAAAGGAAAATCTCCAAATATAAAAGCTACCATAGAAAAAATTCTCAAGCATCAAGAAAAACAAAGAACAAATGAAAGAAAACAAATATAGATGCAGAGAAGTTGGTCCATTTAAACTTTGCCTGTGGGAATGGAAAATGGTAAAGCCACACTGGAAAGCAGATTCTCGGTTTCTTATAAAAAACGGAGGGCACCATTACCAAGGACCAGAAATTGCACTCTTAGGCATTCATCCCAGAGAAATAAAAAATATGTGAAAGAGTAAAGTGAATGCAATGAATTAAGATTAAAAATGCAAATGTTCTTCAATAGTGAACCTAAATACAAACTGTGGTACATCCATACCATGGAATGTTCCTCAACAATAAAAATGAAGGAAGCTACATGCCACAAGTCTGATGGATATCCAGGGACTTACTCAGGATGAGGTAAGTGTAGTTATAAAAGGGCCAGGTGACACATCCTTATGGAAGGGAAATGTTCTCTATCTTGACCAAAGTGGTAGAAATCAAACTTATTCATGTGACAAAATCAAACACAACTAAACACATAAACACAAATCAATACAATTAAGCTGGAGAAATTTCAATGAAATCTGAGGATTGCATCAATGTCAATATCCTGGTTGTGGTATTGTGCTATAGTTTTCCAGTTCAATGGGGGAACTGGGTCAACTGTACACAAGATCTGTATCATTTCTTACGATTGCATATGCAGTTACAAGTTACTCAAAGTAAACCTTTTAATCTTTGAGTTAATTAATTTAACTAAATTTTTATTAGGAAAAACTAGCACTAGCCCCAGTAAGGGTGTTAATGAATCTACATTAAACAGTGCTATTTGTAATATGTATAGTTTCAAACTCACTGCCATCACAAAAGATGAGGATACGTGGTATAACTTGAGCACCATAGTTATTGCCCAAGACATGTCTGTTATTCATTGTCTGAGTGTTTTCTTCCCGGTTGTTCCATGCTTTGTCTCCTTCTATAAGAAACACATTTTTTCAAATGCTGTAAGAAAAGACTCCCAACCTCATATTCTATGTACAAGGAAACTATCTTTCAGTAATGAAGCCAAAATAGAGATAATTACAGAAAAAAGAAAACCAAAAGTGTTTGTTAATACCTGATTCACGTTTTAGCATGGCTAAAGGAAAATTTTCAAACAGAAAATATATTATAGAAAAAAAGTTAGAGCTTCAAGAACAAAGAGCAAAGGTAAGAGCACAAATATGGATGCAGAGAAACTGGTCCACTCATGCATTACAAGTGGAAACGAAAAATGGAAATGCCACACTGGAAAGCAGTTTGTCAGTTTCTTATCCAAAACTAAGTACACCATCACAAAATGACCAAAATTGCACTCTTGGGCATTCACCCCAGAAAAATAAAAACAGTGTGAAAGAGTAAAATGAAGCACAATTTTAAAATCTAGATGTTCTTCAACAATGAACCAATACACAAACTGTGGTACATCCATACCATAGAATAGTCTTCAATAATAAAAAAGAAGAAACTACTAATTCATGCCTCAAGTCACATGCATATCTAGGGATCCTATCTAATAAAAGAGAAACATGGCAACTGGCGTATGACTGCTACCCTTCCCATTGGCTAATCAGGGCAATATTCAAATTAACTGCCAGCCAAGATGGCGGCCGGCAGCCAGGCAGCTTGAAACTAACATGAGGCTTGCTTGCTTCAGTGACGGAGGACTCCAACGTTCCCCGCTGCAGGCCTCTGAGCTGCAAGCAACTATGTAACAAACAAAGAAGCTAAACAAAACCCCAGAAACCTGCCGGGCTTCAGCCAGCAGGATCGCAACATTGTAAGCAAAGGCCAGAAACCTACTTTCAGCTGCAGAAGCCTACGAGCTGGAGCCAAGCCTCAAAGATAAAGCTGGCCCAGAATTAAAAAAAGAAAAAGAAAAAAAGGAGCAGTTGGGAGCTCAGTCACCCCCAGCCTGAAAACAGCCCTCAGCTCCTCATCCAGACTGGCCAGGCACCCCAGTGGGTACCCCCACCCTGAAGGATGTGTGACCAGCTGCAAACAGCAATCATCCCCTCACCCAGGCTGGTCAGGCAACCCAGTGGGGACCCCCACCCTGAAGGATGTGTGACCAGCTGCAAACAGCCATCATCCCCTCACCCAGGCTGGCCAGGCATCCCAGTGGGGACCCCCACCCTGATCCAGGACACCCTTCAGAGCAAACCAGCCAGCACCCACCCATGCACCAGGCCTCTATTCTATATAGTAAAAGGGTAATATGCCTCCCAGCACCGGGATCAGCGGAGCCGTGAGGCCTCCCGGAACCGGGATCAGCGTGACAGGGGGCAGCGCCCAAACCCCCTGATCGCCCTGCGGCTCTGTGTGTGACAGGGGGTAGGGCCACAAACTCCCTATCGGCCCTGCTCTGTTCGTGACAGGGGAAGGTGCCCCAACCCCCTGATTGGCCCTGCTCTGTGCATGACAGGGGGTGGCGCCGCAACCTCCCCATCGACCCTGCCTTGAGTGTGACAGGGGATGGTGCCCCAACCCCCCAATCGGCCCTACCCTGAGTGTGACTGAGGGTGGAATCACAACCACCCGGTCGCCCTGCTCTGTGTATGAAGGGGGTGGTGCCCCAACTCCCCAATCGGCCCTGCTCTGAGCCCGACCAGGGGCTGCACCTAGGGATTGGGCCTGCCCTCTGCCACCCAGGAGCAGACCTAAGCCAGCAGGTCGTTATCTCCCGAGGGGTCCCAGACTGCGAGAGGGCACAGGCCGGGCTGAAGGACGCCCCTCCCCCCTGAGTGCACAAATTTTTGTGCACCGGGCCTCTAGTGTAGTTATAAAAGGTCAAAGTGGCACACCCACATGGAATGGAAACATTCTGTATCTTTACTGTGGTGGTGGACATCAAACCTACTTATGTGACAAAATCAAACAGTTCTAAACACAAACACACAAATCAGTGCAATTAAACTGGAAAAATCTCAATAAAACCTGTGGATTGCATCAATATCAGTGTTCTGGTTGTGGTCTTGTGCTATAGTTTTGCAAAATGTTATCATTGGGGAAAGTGAATAATCTGTATACAAGATCTTTCTGTATTGTTGCTTACAATTGCATGTGCAGCTAAAATTACTTAAAATAAAACTTTAAAATTAATTATATTTAATTAATTGTTATTTAGGAAAAGCTACCATTAACTCACATTAATGGTGTTAATGAATCTACATTAAACAGTGCTATGCATCATTTCAAACTCACCATTGGAAAGGATGATGACATGTGGCATATCTTGACCACCCTTCTTATTTCCCAAGAATTGTGGGTTATTCATCATCTGAGAGTTCTCTTTATGGTTGGTTTGTGCATTGTCCCTTTCTACAAGAAAAACTTTTTTCAAATGTTGTGAGAAAAATTAATCCCAACCTCATATTCTAAATCCACTGAAACTACCCTACAGAGTGAAGCCAAAATAAAGATACATTTAGACAAAAGGAAACCAAAAGTATTTATCACTGATTCATGATGAAAAATGGCTACAGAAAAATCTTCAAACAGAAGAGATATAATAGAAAAATTCTAGAGCGTCAACAAGGACAAAGGACAACGACAGGAGCACAAATATTGATGCAGAGAAACTGGTTCACTCATATATTGCTGGTAGTTATGGAAAATGGCACAGCCACAATGGAAAGCAGTTTGTCAGTTTCTGATCAAAAACTAACAAAGTGCCCTGGCTTGAGTGGTTTGGTTGGGTGGAGCATTGACCAGCGCAAGAAAAGTGTGCACATTTGATTCCAGGTCAAGGCATATGCCTGAGTTGTGGGTTCAATCCCCAGTGGGGACTTGTGAGGGAGACAACCGATTCCATGTTTCTCTCTTGCATGTCTCATGTATCTCTCTTTCTTTCTCTCTCTCTCTCTCTCTCTCTCTCTCTCTCTCTCTCTCTCTCTCTCTCCAATAACAAAGAAAAAAAAAGCACTTAGGAAGCAATCACCCAACGACCAGAAATGCACACTCTGTGAAAGAGTTAAATGAATGAAATAAAGCAAGATTAAAAACTATGACCAAGTATTCATAGTTGCTTTAACCCTAACAGTCCAAAACAGGAAACTAAGAGATTTTAAACAGGTGAACAGATAAGTATAACATGGAAAATCAGTACCATGAAATACTATTCTATAAGAAAAAAGAAGGAACAAATAATATACAAACACACACACACACACACACACACACACACACACACAGACACACACACACAAACAAGCAAAATGCTCTCCAGTTCCGGGAGGGTGGGGGTAAGGGGAAGAGATCAAACAAAGGACTTATATGCAAGCATATAGGCCTAACCAATGGACACAGACAACAGCGGGGTGAGGGCATGAGTGGTGGGGATAGGGGGTAACGTGGGGATAAGGACACATATGTAATAACTTAATCAATAAAAAAATTTTTAAAAAGCCATGAGTGAGTCTCCACAGAATTACACTGAGGGAAAGAAGCCAATCTCAAAGAGCACAGGAATCAATTTATGCTAAAGGGACAAATTATAGATCTGGGTAATAGATGTGTTGTTACCAGCAGCTTTAGACTGGAAAGGGGTTTGGATCAGGTGGGATGTCACCTGAAGGGAGGTGGGTTTACTTGCAAAATAGCAATATGATGACTCATGATGGTGATGGAACTGTTTAGGGGCTTGCCTGTGGTAGAGGGCATGTGATACAATGGTACAGAACTAAAGACACTGATTAACACAAGTGAAACTATCCTATATAAAAGAGAAAAATGCAAAATAAGCATCCCTCCCCTAAACTCAAGCCAAACAGGAGTGAGTATGCAAATTAACCCAACTAAAATGGCGGCGGCCACAGAGCTGGAGCAAGCAGGAGGCTTGGGTTGCCCCCGGCGATGGAGGAAGCCAAGCTTCCTGCCTGCCCTGGCTGGCCCTTGACTCAAGGCTACAAAGTTTCAATTATAGAAGATAAATAAATCCCTGGGTAAAAAAAGGACAGGCTGGGAGCTTGGGTCACCGGGGGGAGTGGCCAGGCTGAAAACAGCCATCAGCCCCTCACCCAGGCTGGCCAGGCACCCCAGAGGGACTCCCCCACCCTAAAGGGGCTGTGGGCAGCCTGAAAATGGCCCTTAGCCCCTCACCCAGGCTGGCTAGGCACCCCAGCAGAACCCCCACCCTGATTCGGGACACCCTTCAGGGCAAACCAGCTGGCCCCCACCCATACACCAGGCCTCTATCCTATATAATAAAAGGGTAATATGCAAACTGACCCTAACAGCAGAATGACTGGGAATGACTGGTCACTATGACACACACTGACCACGAGGGGGCAGACACTCAATGCAGGAGCTGCCCCCAAGTGGTCAGTGCATTCCCACAGGGGGAGCTCTGCTCAGCCACAAGCCAGGCTGACAGCTGACAGCACAGCGGTGGTGGCGGTAACCTCTCCCACCTCCTCAGTAGCACTAAGGATGTTTGACTGCAGCTTAGGCCTGTGCCCCACTGACAAGTGGACATACCCTGAGGGCTCCCAGGCTGCCAGAGGGATGTCTGACTGCCAACTTAGGCCTGTTCCCCAGGGGAGCAGGCCTAAGCCAGCAGGTGGACATCCCCTGAAGGGTCTCAGACTGCGAGAGGGCACAGGCTGGGCTGAGGAACCTCCCCAAGTGCAAAAATTTTTGTGCACCGGGCCTCTAGTATTTTAATAATATAAGGATGGTGTCATGTCATTTATCTTAGTGGTGATAAATTTCTACCATTTTGCTAGTTCTTACCATTGGGGAAATTTAGGTACTGGAAACAAAAAATTTCTCTGTATCATTTTTACAACTGAAGGTGCAACTAAATTTTTCTGAAAATAAAAAATAATTACAAAAAACTCTATCTTTTCAGTAAGGATGTTGATAAATCAATATTAAATATGCTACCTATCTAAATATCATTTCAAACTCACCAAAACTGAAACAAATACAGCAACATACTGAGGAAATATTTTGGCTACTGTTGTTTTCCCAAGAAAAGTGGATCATTTGTTTCCTCAGGGCTCTTTGCCATGTTGGTTTGAGCTCCTACCAACATTTCTATAAGTAACATATTTTCAGGTATGGAAAGACAAGAAATGTCAACCATGAATTCCATAAGACACAAAACTATCTTTCAAAGACCAACCTTATTTGTGACAACCTGGATGGTCCTGGGGGGCATTTTGCTAAATGAAATAAGCCAGAGAGAAAGAAAAATACTGTGTGTTATCACATATGTAGAATCTGAAAAGAAAAAAGGCAAACTCATAGAAACACAGTGTAGAATGGTGGCTTCCAGGGGCTGCGAAGTAAGAAAAATAGGGAGGAGCTGGTAAGGGGGCACAAACTATCCGATAAAAAGTGAACTAACATCTGGAGATGTATAACTTGATGACTACAGTTGATAATGCTGTATTGTATAATTGCAATTTGCTTAGAAAGTACAAACTCAGTGTTTTCACCACAAAGCATCAAGATGTAAATGGGGCAAATGCCAGGTGTGTTAATTAACTCAATGGTGAGACTCCTTTCAGAATATGTGTATATCAAATAATTACATTGTACACTGTAAATATATTACAATTTTATTTGTCAATTATACCCCAATAAAGTGAAAAAAAGAAATGAGCATTCAAACTCTTAAAAAAAGAAGACTAGAGATGAGATAAAGACATTGTCACACGAAAGAAAGCTAACAGTATATTTCACTAGGCAGTTACACCAGAGAATGGCTAGAGGAATATTGCATATCAGAAAAATATGATGAAAGAACAAACCTTGGAGCATCAAGAGGAAGAAATACAGTAAAAGCAGCAAAGCATGGAGGTCAAGAAACTGGCTGTCATACATCTCTGGCAGGAGAGTAAAAGGCACAGCCTCCCTGGAAAACTTTTGGCAATTTCCTGCAATGCTAAACATGTTATTACTATACAACCAAGAATCTGTACTCTTGGTTATGATCGAAGAGAAATCAAAAATTATGTTTACACAAAAACCTGTAAAAGAACAGTCATAACAATTTTACTTGTAATACTGAACACTGGAAAAATCCAGATGTTCTTCAACAGTGAACCAATACACAAACTGTGGTGCATTCATACCATGAAATAGTCCTCAACACTAAAACAAAAACAAAAAAAGAATTATTGATGCATGCCACAAGTCAGATGATATCCAGGGCCTTGTGCTGAGGGGGGCATGCTTACAAAGGGTAATGTGACACATACATATGGGGATGGAAATGTTCTGTATCTTGACTGTGGTGGTGGAAATAAAACCTACTCATGTGACAAAATCAAACACAACTCAATACATACACACAAATCAATAGAATTAAACCAGAAAAATCTCAATAAAACCTATGGATTGCATCAACATCAATATTCTGGTTGTGCTATTGTGCTATACTTTTGCAAGATGTTATCATTGGGGGAGACTGGATCAACTGTACACAAGATCTCTCTGCATTGTTTCTTACAATTGCATGTGCAGTTAAATTTTACACAAAATAAAACTTTTACCTTTTATTTTGTTAGTTTTAACTGATTTTTAAATAGGAAAAGCTACCTCTCGCTCACTTTAAGAGTATTACTGAATCTACATTAAACATTGATATTTGTAATATGTATCATTTCAAACTCACCAACATCAGAAAGGCTGTGGGCACGTGCACTCTCTTTATTACCATGCTTACTTCCCAAGACTAGTGGCTGTTTCATCATCTGAGTATTTTCGTCCGGGTTGGTCGGCGCTTTCTCCTTTCCTATAAGGGAAACATATTTCAAATGCTGTAAGAAAACACTCCCAAACCCATATTCTATATTCAATGAAACTATCCTTCAGTAATGAAGCCAAAATAAAGATATTCATATACAAAAGGAAAGAAGTATTTGTCATCAATTCATATTTTAGCATAGCTAAAGGAAAATCCCAAAACAGAAAAGGTATCATGAAAAAAACTCTCAAGCATTAAGAAGGACAAAGAACAAAGGAAAGAAAACAAATATGGATACAAACTGGTCCACTCATACATTTCAGATGGGAATGGAAAATGGTGAAGCCACACTGGAAAGCAGATTGTCAGTTTCTTATCCAAAATTAAGGATACAATCACCAAAGACCAGAAATTGCAATCTTGGGCATTCCACTCAGAGAAATGAAAACTTTGTGAAAGAGTGGAATGAATGAAATGAAGCAAGATTTTACAATCTAGATGTTCTTTAATAGTGAACCAATACACAGAGTGGTGAAACCAAACCATAGTACATCCTCAACAAAAAGAAGGAACTATGGATGCAG